AGGAGTGCCAGATAGAATTGGCACCGGTCTAAGGAAGATGGGACACTCAAAGCCAGGCACCAACTCCAGGATGTAAACAGGCTGTCACAGGCCAAGAGGCACCATTAATTTCCTGGGCATCTAGGATTGAGGCCAAGAACAGAAGTGATCTGCTTTAGCCTGTAAACAGAGCAAGATTCTAAACAGCCTTCAGTTAAAGCCGGCAGCGTTATCCATATGTTTGAAGAAAGGCACCTCATAAGAAAATCCCTTATGAATCAAGTCTCATGCAGATTTACGTGGTGGAGAAAAGAGCAGGGAAAGATGCCAAATTGAAAAACGACAAGCTGCCACCAGGAAAAAGTCAATTTCTAATATGCATTGGCACTTTGGCTTTATCCCTTCTCAGGCTGACTCCAACTGAAGAATGTTCTAGATAACTGAGCAATCCCTCATTAAGACACATTAAGAGTCAGCTGTGTCATCTTGGAAGGGACAAACAGTACTCTGTTTGGTAGCATGTGGTATGGGTGGCTGTGAAAAATAGGGAGAGAGCCCTTGGGGCACAGAGCATGATATAGGTTGCTGGAACAAAGCATTTCAAAGGGGCTTGGTAGAGAACTGAGTCTGCTGTCTTCTAATACAACCCTAGATTTTTCAGGCTCAAAACCATTCTTAGGTGTTTCTTCACAGTCTTTTTACTAGGTTCCATCTGTTCTATGGAAACAGGATCTAGAACATTCTGTATATTGTCACAGTGCTTGCCCTTATACCTTTAATTAATAGTGAGCTGGGTGTATTGTGCACAGCATACACTTAGTAACTGTGAGCATAAGATAAGGGCCTTTCTTCCGGATTCTACTTTAAGTGACCAATGATTGCTGCAAATCTAGGAATGTTAGACATAGCAATCCCTACCCTGCCTCCTTTACATATATGGAACTTTGGAGTAAGGGCTACTGTCGAAGGGCCCTTGATTTTTTTCTGAGTCTGGTTTCAGTGCTTTAACACATCTCAACTTTTCCTCCTCTGAGCCACTATATGGTGTTGTTCTGTGCTTGCCAGG